CCGCGGCCGTGCCCGGCCGCGCGGGCTCCGTCCGTGGCCCGCCAGAGTGCCAAAGGAAAGCGCCCTCTGCGGAGCGCCTTCGACGCCTGCCACAACGGCGCGAGGGCGACGACCGCCGCTGGGTCCAGCCGCCACGTCGGGCTCAGGACCCCAAAGACCACCTCTGCGGCAGCGCGGAATCCGCCTCGGCACACAGCCTGCCGCGCAGCCGCCCGCAGCCCGGCCAGCTCCTTCGCAGGTGGGCGGCCGCACGAGGCGCCGTACAACCCCGCCGAAGTGCCGGCAGCAGCGCCCAGCATGCATCGGTGTCGGAACTCCAAGGGGAGCCGCCCGATCCGCGCAAACCGCACTCCAGCTGCGCGCGCCCTGGAGCCGGCAACGGCGCAGCGAGGCACCCGGCCCGCGGCGGCGACCACCCCGAGGTCACGGAACTGCCGCCCGGCAGGGATCAGAGGGGTCTGGGGCGCCAGCCATCTGCGGAGCGCCGCGGTGTTCGCGAATTGCCGGCTCTTGTCGCGATTGAGCCGCCAGCCCATGGCGAGCTCGAACCCGGCAGTGATGGCCAATGCGCTGGCGACCGACTCCGCCACCTCGCCGGCTTCGCCCTGGCCGCCCCGCGCCCACAGCGTGAAGTCGTCGACGTAGATACGCCGCCGTAGCCGGTCGTCCAGCTCCCCCGTGCGCCGTTGCCACGGCAGCGTGAGGACGCTCAGGAAGAAAACGGCCAAGGCGCAGCCGGGCAGCAGCCCGCACGCGGGCTGCCATGCCTCGCCGATGGCGCGCCCGACCCGGATCCGGCGCGGAGCCGTGTAGGCCCTCAGGGCTGGGGCCAACACCCATTGAGGGACGCCGGCACGCGCCAGGATGCCCGGCAGGGAGGCCAAGTCGATGTGGTCGTACGCCTTCCGCCAATCGAGCGCCGCCCCGGCGATCGTCTCGGACAGCGCCTCCGCCGCCTCCAGCTCCAGCGCGAGCTCCCAGGCCAGCTCCTCTGCTCCTCGCTGGACCTCCTCGCCGGCCCACCGCAGGCGCCACCGAGCGAACAGGCGGGCCCTGCCTGCCGCCCACAGGCGGTACAAGATGGGCAGGAGCCATATCGGGCGCCTGTCCATGGGGTCTGCGCCACCCCCGGGCTTCGGGAGCAGGAGGCCCTCCGGCTCCACCAGCTCGCTAGGCCAGCTCCCGCAGGCCTCGATCTCCTCGAACAGCTCGGCGATCCACCCGTGCAGCTCCGGAGGCAGCAATCGAAGCTCCTTCACGGTCCACCCGTCTACACCCGGCTTCTTCCGCCGAGGCATGCGGCGAAGCAGCGAGGACACCGTCTCCGCCGTCCAGGGCACCCGCTCGGGGAACGCTGGGAGGCCATCCAAAGCCTGAAGCCACTCCTCGCCCAGCGGCGGCGCCGACTGCCGCTGCCAGAGTGCGCGCCACGGCCCTTCGAAGTGGCGGAGGCGCGCCGCTGGGCCGCCACGGAGCGCCAGGAGCCAGCTCCGGCGTCCGGCTGCTGCGGCCGCCGCGCCAGCCGCCGGGTCGGGCACCAAATCTGCCTCGAGAATCGACCCGCCTCGGATCCATCGATAGAGACGGCCCTGCGCGATGGCCAAACTCTCTTGGGCCCAGCGGCGCCATTCCTGCCTGCGCTGGGATCGCGCTGCCGCCTGGGCGGCACGCCATTCGGCCTCCGCATGCTCCAGCAAGGTGGCCGGGAGCTCCACGTCCGGTCGCAGGTCGGCCAGCGCCGCCCGCCAGACCGCATGGTCGGCGTCGGCCTGCCGCAGCGCCATCAGCGTGGACATCGCGACCTCGCGCGCCGATGGGGCCCTCCGCTGCGCGTGACGGAGGCCGCGCAGGCGGCGAAGGCGGAGGAGGGCAGCGTCCGCCTGCATATCCGCGGCGTCGCCTCCCCCCCCTCTCGTCGGCGGCCGATCGGCGGCCACCGTGGCAGCCGCATGGGGCCGGGGCGGAGCTGCTGGGAGCCCCCGCCGACTCGCCAACCATGCCGCCATGGCCGAGCGGAGCGACTGCCATGCCGCCTCGACGTCGTGCCGCCCCAGCGCGCCGTGGAAGGGCGTGCCGAAGCCAGCGACCACCGTGGCGGCGGCCTCCCGGGCCTCCCGCGCCCCCCAGCCCTCAATGGCATCGCCGTCGAGACGCTGCACGGGGCGCCTCATGAGCGCTCGCTCCGGGGCCGACGCGCGCAACTCCACCCAGAGGGCCGCGTGGGTGGCGAACCCAAGGTCCCACCGGATGCCGACCCGCTCGACGAGCCCCAACGCCTCCGGATTCGCCAGCACGTAGTCCAGCCTCGATGGGGCCCCATCGGAGGGGATGCACGTAGGGCCAGCCGCCGCCAGGAGGTCCCGCCACCCGGCCATGCCCAGCAGGCCCTCCAGGCCCGACTCGGCGACGTTGCAATTCAGGTCGCCTACCAGCAGCGCGGGCGCCCCGCCTAGGCCCCGGAGCCACTCGCGGCCCTCCTGGATCAGGTCGGCGTTGCGCTCCCGGTCGGTCCGCCCGCCAGCGCACCCATAGAGAGAGAGAGACACACACACACAGAAGAGACAGGAGAGACAGGAGAGAGAGAAGAGAGAGAAGAGAGAGAGAGAGAGAGAGAGAGAGACAAGAGAGAGAGAGAGAGAATAGAGAGAGAGAGAGAGAAGAGAGAGAGAGAGAGAGAAGAGAGAGAGAGAAAAGAGAAGAGAGAAGAGAGAAGAGAGAAGAGAGAAGAGAGAAGCGAGAAGAGAGAAGATAGAGAGAGAGAGAGAGATAGCGAGAGCGAGAGCGAGAGCGAGAGCGAGAGCGAGAGCGAGAGCGAGAGCGAGCTCCACGCACGTATATTACAATGTTTCTCGTAGAGCTTTTCGGCATCGATGAGCCAAGGAACTTCCGGCGCGGGGTGGAGCTGGTTGGCCCGCCCGGCCCGGGCGGACAGCGTGACGACCTGGGGTCGGTTTTTGGAGATTCTGAAAGATTTGACCGTTCGTTTTGAGAACCCCGATTTTTGGTTCCTGCAGTCGATCATGTCCCGTTTCACAATGAAAGTCTCAGAGCTGTAGCTGCAGCCCAACTCTCGAACAGTAGGGGGAACCATCGGCCGTCGGGATGCATCTTCCCGGATGATAATGGTGTCGTGAACTTAACTGGGCGCCGGCGGTAAACCGTCAACCAGGTTTTTGAGTTTGAGTTTGAGTCAGGGCGCGGACAGCTGTGACAGCTGAGCCCTAAGACTCCCAAACGGAGCACAGGGTAGCTAGAGAAGGCATCTCTTATCATCACACTGCCGAGCCACTGAGGCATAGGCATCGGAATAGGATGCAGGAACAAGGAAAAGGATGCAGCACGACATGTGAAATTGCAAAGGTGTAGGAACAGGTTAGAGATGAAAGAGGCTACCCAAAACGTGCACCACGGCCATACAGAGCCGCTGCGCTGCAAACATCACACAGAACACGACAGAAGCAGAGGCATCAAGGGAGAAAGCTTCCTCCGCCACGAACAGCCACGCCCCGTGCACACACAAACCTAAACACCATTCTGCAGCACATCCCTCCACAGAGCGACCTCCGTCGAAGAATCCACGGAGGCCGTCTAGTTTTGTTTTGCTCGCATGTTCAATAAGGGAGGTATGGAATACAACGTAGCAATTTCTGGTTCTGGCCAACCATGTCAGCCTATGTGCAATCACTAAATCAATCAATCAATTGGGTAGCCCGCCTTGGCCGCCAACTCCCGGTAGTTCTTTACATTGCGACGCATCCACTCATCCTGAAAATTCGCCACGTATCTCATAGCTTCCGCAACACTTTTGGGAACGACTCTGTGGTGACTAAAGTCTCTGATATCCGTCGACAGATGGGTCAAATTGGCTATCGGGCCAAGTCTCGCGCGATCCCGAAGAAGCGTTTCAAGCAACACAGCCTTTTCCTCGGCACCCGAGGCCATAAGGCGATACAGCGTGGCAGCCGTGAAAGAGTGAACGAGCTTTACCCAGCCAGACTTGCGGAAGCAGTATTTCCTGATCCTTAAATTACACGCCAACTGAAGCAAATAATCTGCGTGGTTACTTTCTCCTCGCCCTTCGTCACTGCTGAACTCACAACTGCATTAGATAAACTCCCAGTCGTGGAACTCCCAGGGTGTGAAGCCATAGAATCTTTATGATGAGGAGGCCAAAAGGTTACACGAAGGTTCCTAATGTGGCTCTGCAAGCGTTGTTCCATCAACCGTTGAGCACCACTTGAGTAGAATGTCAAGCACCGCCAATGTCCGAAGCACCACCCCGCAATACGGTGCATCCTTATCTTGTCCAACCGACACTGCTCCCAGAGTCTCTGGATGTCCGCGTCCTCCTCCCCATCACGGTGGTAAGCCTCACACAGACGGTGCAGAGTAGCCTGTTTCAAATAGAAATTTGCCCTCTCTCGCAGGGTGGCCATTTTATCCCATGCGTGGAAGACCGCATCCCAATCAGCGTCCTCCTTCTGCAGGTGGTCCGCCACGAGCAGGCGCGCGATGTGCCTCTGGAGCACCCATGTGGTAGCCGTGCCGGCGCACTCGACGCGATTTGAAGAACTGCACAAGTCCGCAAAAGAGGACGGAGGTTGGGGAGGATCGCAAGTAGATGGATGGGCCGACTTTGACATAGAAGAGCCAGTTAGAACTGCCTGAGCCTTCGCCCTTGCCCGCCTCCTGTTTCTGCGGTGCCTCTGGCCTTTCCCACGGCCAGCATCCCTCCTCTGGACTCGGCGCCTCCTCGGGACTCTCAATTCCCATTCGAAGTTTGTATGCCTTGAGCGCCTCGATCCGAGCATGAAACTCATCTTTGGGGAGCCGTTCGAATTCCCGCCAAAGAGCAACTGCATCGCCATTGGCACGGGCCCAGTCCCTGGCAGCTTGACACTCAGATCGATTGCTCTGCAACTCATCTGAACAGAGCCGGGAAGAAGAAGCACAGTTATCTTTACGCTGGTCGACTTCGCACTCTCCGTGGGTTTCCGAGGATGCCAACGGCAGCGCCTCGGGGCCTCCACCTTCCCTTTGCTTTCGAGAATAATCCAAAGGAGCTGAGTGCAGAGAATAATCCACAGGAGCTGAGTGCAGAGAATAATCGAAAGGAGCTGAGTGCAGCACAGCATCAATCGATTGAGAAGCAAGCGACGCTTCTTCAGCAGCAAGATTGGGTCCTACATCCTGGGATCCTGAAGCGGCCGTATGGATCTCCGACTGCAGCCCACCATCTGGAGACTGCACCACATCTGGAGAATACGCAACCGAATGAGACGAGAAAGCTTCTCCACGATCAGTTGGCCCAGCAGATGGCACCGATAAGGAACTCAACAATATATTGACCTGCTCCTCCGAGTTGCCCTGAAACGGGCATGGGCTTCGCGCACAATCATCGAGGTTATCAAACCAGCCAAACGCGGGGAAAATATTCTGATCAGCCACAAAATATGGATCACGAGCATTAAACTGCATAACATCAAATACAGCTTGTCTACAAATCGCCAGTTTGATTATCCTTGTTTTTCTTTTCCAACTGGTCGAAACAGAACTCATCGAACAAAATTGCGCTGTCATGATGCCGCACAAGAAAGGGGCACGCAAGAACAACTAATCAATCCAATGCCGACAGGTCACCCGTTCGGTACTCAGAGATCTACGTTACGTGTGCATGCACAAAACCTGTCCGCACGACGCGGCTCGAGGAGTCCCCGACGGGCCAAGGCCGCGGGAGAGCAGGAGGCAAGCTCCGCTTCCCAACCTTGGTTTTTTTGAGTTTGAGTCAGGGCGCGGACAGCTGTGACAGCTGAGCCCTAAGACTCCCAAACGGAGCACAGGGTAGCTGGAGAGGGCAACTCTTATCATCACACTGCCGAGCCACTGAGGCATAGGCATCGGAATAGGATGCAGGAACAAGGAAAAGGATGCAGCACGACATGTGAAATTGCAAAGGTGTAGGAACAGGTTAGAGATGAAAGAGGCTACCCAAAACGTGCACCACGTAGAGCTCGGGCCAAAATGGCTACGGGGACCTCGTAGAGCTCCTGAGTCGTCGGAGAAACTCCGGCGTGCAATGGCGATCCGCCGCCAAGGCTGCGGCTGCGGCACGGCTCGACTGCGGCACGGATCCTACATTTTCCCCGGCAAATCGGGGCCCCAACACGCCTCTCGGAACATCGACCCTTCCCGAGGCGAAACCATGCACCACTTGATCGGCGCCACCGTCACAAGAGGATCCGCCCCTTCATCCACGCGCACCCCCCTTGCCCCGCTGACGCCCCGGAGGGGGGAGGCACCGCCCCACTACGTGGCCAACCCTCCCTCCGCTCCAGCCACTCCGCCCTCGCGGAGCGCCAGCGGAGACAAGAAGGGCGAAGGGGGGGGGGGGCGCGCACCTCGCAGCGAAGCCTTGCCCTATTCAGCTCGTTCCGACCCCCCATCCTTCTCGCCAACAACTGCCGCCCTGCCCATCGCCCATCGAAGTGAAAGCCAAGTAGCCACGCCGACGGATACGAATCATTCCCCAGCACATCTGGACCCCCCCCCCCAGCCCATCCGATCATCGCTCCTTTCCGACACGAAACCATCCAGCACATGATCGGCGCCACCGTAACAAAGAGATCCAGCCCTTTATTCACGCGCACCCTCCTCGCGCACCCTCCTCGCCCCTGTATTCACGCGAACCCTCCTCGCCCCGCGATCGGTGCTCTCTGTGTCTCTGTCTCTGTATCTGTCTCTCTCTCTCTCTCTCTCTCTCTCTCTCTCTCTTTCTCTCTCCTCCCCCCCCTCATCCACGCGCACCCTCCTCGCCCCGCTGACGCCCCAGAGGGGGGAGGCACCGCCCCACTACGGGGCCAGCCCTCCCTCCGCTCCAACCACTCCGCCCTCGCGGAGCGCCAGCGGAGAAAAAAGGAGAGAGGGGGGGAGGAGCACGACCCTGGCAGCACAGCCTTGCCCTAGTCTGCCCGCTCCGCCCCCCCTGTCGCGCTTCCCCCTCTGCTTCCTTTAACACCCAATATCGACCCACATGCCAGGCCGGCCTCGCAGACGGATCCAGCTCATTCCCCTGCATATCCACACACACACACACCCTGAGTGCCCTCCGCCACCCGCTACGACGCGCGCGCAAACACTGACACACACAAACACAGACACACAGGCACACATACAAACAGACATACAGACACACAGGCACACAGACACACAGACACACAAACACAAAGACACACAGACGCACAGACGCACAGACACACAGAAACGCAGACACACAGGCACACAGGCACTCAGGCACACAGGCACACAGGCACACCGGCACACAGGCGCACAGACACACAGACACACAGACACACAGACACACAGAAAAACATATACACACACAGACACACAGACACACGGATACACAGACACACAGACACACCGACAGACAGAGCCCCCCCCGCAGACCCCTCCCGGCGCTCCGGAGGGGCGAGGCACCGCCCCATTTTGGAGCCGGCCCTCCCACCACACCAACCACTCCGCCCTCGCGGAGCGCCGGAGGAAGCAGGGGAGGGGGGGGGGGCAGCGCCGTGCGCGCACACACGCCGACGAATCCAATTGATTTCCCAGCATATCTGAACCCCTCCCCACGGGCCTTCAATCATCGCCCCCTTCCAAAACGGAACCATGCACCACTTCACCGGCGCCACCGCCACATGGAGATCCAGCCCTTCATCCACGCGCACCCCCTCTCCCCGCTGGCGCTCCGGAGGGGGGAGGCACCGCCCCACTACGGGGCCAGCCCTCCCTCCGCTCCAGCCAGTCCGCCCTCGCGGAGCGCCAGCAGAAAGAAAAGGAAGGAAGGGGGAGGAGCCGAACCTGGCAGCACAGCCTTGCCCTAGTCTGCCCGCTCCGCTCCCCCTGTCTTGCTTCCCTTCTCTTCCCCCCTCAACCCCCAGCCCCCATGCACACCCCCCGCCCTATCGACCCGCATGACAGGCGGACCCCACAGACGGATCCAGCTCATTCCCCTGCATGTCCACGCCCCCCCATCGAGCCCCCTCCGCCACGCGCTGCGACGCGCGCGTCGCATCCCCCAGCTCGCGACCGCGCTGGAAGTCAGCCAAGCTCTCGATCCTTTCCGGGCCGAAACCTGTCACCACTCGCGCGGCGCCGCCGCAATTCGACGATGCAGACGGCTCCGCGCGCTTCGGGCGCACCAACACCCCCCCTCGAACATGCGCGCCCACACCCGCGGAAGCTCCCCCCTCCACCGCGACTGCGCCGGGCGCAGGGCGCGCCGCCAAACGCGCCGACCTTCTCCGCGGGGCCTCCGCCTCTGACCCAGGCTCCACCTTCCGCTTCCCCGACGCTGGAGCCCTCACCGCCCCCGGTCTTACCCCCTCCGCGCCGCTCCCCGTCTCCACCGCCGCCGCATCTCTCCCCCACGCGACACTCGCACGCGCTACATCGCCACCAAGACTCCCGCTGCCCGCGCGCGCACCCCCGGACCCTCGAGCACCTCGGACGCGCTGAAGCCCAGCGATGTCGCGCTCCCCGCCAACCTCCCTGGCTCCAACCCCGCCCAACGCGCCACCCGCCGCCCCTGCGTCCGGGCGACGCGCCGCCGTCTTCTCCCGTGCGCGCCGCGCGCCAGAGCGCGGCACGGCGCCACCCAGCGAACCCGAGACAACCCCCTCTTTCGGAGACACCGCCCCCCCGCCGACCCCACCGATCAAGTCGAGGCCGCTTGCCGCGCCCCGGGACTCACCTGCGCCCGCCGCCCCGCCCTTCGTCGTTACCTCTACTCGCCTAGCGGTACCCTCACCATCGCCGGCGCGCCCGTCACCTGACGTCGAAAACGCGCGCTTCCCCCGCAGGCGCCGGCTCGCGGAACGCGGCTCGGCAACGGCCACCGACACAACGCCTTCCGCGCGTCCTCCACGGCCTGGCCCCGCACCGACTCCGCCGCCTGACGTTGGCCCACCCCTCCTCGCACCGACAGACGTCGAAGTCCCAACCCGATCGCCACCGGCGCCGCCCGTGCGCACGTTCCCTCGGGCCGCCGACGCCCCACTCCCCCCCTGGCGCTCCGTCGCTCCGTCGGCGTCACCGCCAACGGCCACGTCCCCGCCCCCTCCGCCGCCACTAGACGCACTCGCATCACCGCCCAGAGGCCCACTCCCGCCACTGCCCTGCCCCTCACGACCTGCGTCCACCTCGGTCGCGCCCGTGCCCGCGCCCTGCCCCTGTCCGCGATCCATGCGGCAATTAACTGCCATGTACGCCTCCTTATGCTTGATGTGCGCCGGCTCGTCTCGAATCAGGCGTGGTGGCGCGTCGTCGTCAAACAAAAAATCCCTTCCATCATGAACGCGGCACAAAGTCGTGTAATGGCCGCTATGCACTGACCGCCCATTGTGATAAACCACACCGACCAACTGCATCTGTGAAAGCCCTGGCAGCCTGAGTTGCTCTTCCACCCACACGGCCTCCCGCGCCTCGGAGCCCCCCCTCAGTTGAACCACCAAAACCTGCGGCACACCAGTGAGTCTGCTGTCTCACGTGCTTAACCTGGTCGCGCTCGTCGCGGCAACACCCCGGGCAGAACTTCTCGACATCTTCAGGCGCACAGTAGTCGCAGTACAACTCCTGCAGCATCAAAGGCACACCTGGCCGTCCATGAACACGCAGCTTCAGTACATCATCAGCCTCATACGACACAGTCTGGTAATTATACACGTCGCACTTCTCCCGCTTTTCGACGACGAACCCGAAAATCTGATCAACGCAGGTCACCCGCAGAGTCACCGCGCGGATGCTATCGGGGTCCCGCTGCGCAAACCGACCTGCCAACATCTCTCCGGTGCGCGCAGCCGACATCAACTGGCCCCAATATGCAAACACATCCTGCTGCCGCCACGGGTCGTTGAACTCACTCGGCCGCCTCATCACATCGTCGTCGCAGTCAACGCTTGTTCGCCGTAGCACACTCACGGGTCCCTGCTGCCAGCGTCGCGAACATAACCGCGTGTACGTCTCCCACATCCCGCAGACGCAACAACGCCCAGTGCCCCGATCCTCGCAATGTTCCTCTGAATGCCATCGGAGCCATTCGAAGACGGCAGGCGTTCGCAACGTCAGCTGCGTCACGCTGACCACGTAGCAGGTGTTCCATGGCCGCGGCATCCCTCGGACGGGCAAGCACCGCACGATTTCCCACGAAGCCGCGCGAATGCCACCCACGTTTGGGACATCCATGTCTGCTGGGCGCAGTGGCGCCTCAGGCGGGCGGGGGCTCGGTGGCGGCGGAACCGAGCGACCCAATGCAAATAAACTCTGGGGCCCGAACGCTGCGGAGATCGCTTGC